GCTGCCATCTACAGAGATTCATCGCTGCTTATTCGTTACTTTTTGCCGCTAGGTAGCAGATCTGAAATGCACATCGCGGTTTTTTACCAATGTCAAACGTCTTTACTCGGATGGCACACAGCCCTATTCGCATACGCCACATAGCCGCACAGCATAATTGCGGTACAGGCCACTTACAGCTGCCTTAGGCGGACTTACGTAGCACGGGGCCAACATGACAGGAGTGCTCGCCCCATTCGTCCTATATGACGCGGAATCATCACACCGGTGACCTGTCTATGACGCGGAATCATCACACCGGTGACCTGTCTATGACGCGGAATCATCACACCGGTGACCTGTCTATGACGCGGAATCATTACGCCGGTGACCTGTCTATGCTCAACACCAACATTAACTCGACAACCAGTGAGATATGGTCGTAAGATACTGAGCTCGCGGCTCAGAACAGTGATCAGGAACAGGTCACTAACTTTGTTCTACTTACACCCGAAATGTCAGGATCTTCCACGACAATGGATGGATTGACGAGCCTGTCTTCCGCCGGCAAATGAACAGGCTGAGTGGACGGGTTTGAGGTCAATCTTTGGCGCTGAGAAGGAAAGGAACATACTGGCCGGACTCATGGCCCAGCAAACTCACTAAGATACCACCGGCCTAGTCTCAAACGAAATGAAATCCGTTTGGCTTGACGGACACGACGGTTCAAAATAAGAGCACATTTTAGTTTGACCGACTGGTGGCATCGAGGCAAAGCAAGAGAAAAACGTCCACCTGCAATCCAAGGCTTTTAATTGCAAGTGTTAAAAAACTTCATGACTTGGAGTTACTTTGCTCCTCCACACCACCCAATTGATGGGGTTTTAGAACACGCCCTCATCAATGATTACTTAACAATAAAGAAGATAACAAAGAGTCACGGATCTAACGGGTGCGACATAGAAGTGCACAGTTTCCACATGAAACAGCACGTCGTGCCGGCGATTAACCGATATGAACCTGTACAAAACGGTACAAACCGAAGCAATACAACAGAACGAGCCTGCACGCATGGACACTTCCCTACGGCACTGATCAGGTGCAGCTCGCGTGGCCTCCGATGCACTGAATATGGGCCATTATTTCCTGGTAGCATTAAAGTTCCCGCATCGACTGGAGCCCGAGCATTCGTCCAGCATTGTCGGTAATAACAGAGCACTGGCCTCTAGTACCGTGATGTCAAAATCATGCCTTGTGCCTAATTTGAACACCGATATGAGCCGAGATGGCGCTGTCAGTTCCAAGAGCCTGGCCAAACGCAAACATATGTCTGATACTTATTGCCAGGTATGGCATTTATCTCGGCTGAAACTAGTTTCTGTCACTTTTTCTTCAGCCGATTAGAACAGGCATCAACTGACAGAGACTTATAATGTTAAAATCTCGCTCTTTTTATCCATCACTTTACCCAAAAGTAGTCGCAATGTTTCCTATTCAGTTCAAACAATAGAAGCAGCGAATGTTAACAACGGCACAATCCTTTGAGAAATTGTGTGAAGCTGTGAGGAATGGGATTCGATAGTGCAAAACTGCTTTGCACGTTTTGCTGGTTTTGCTGCAGGCAGCACGACTTCATGTCTTATTGCTATCACGTGTTCTCACAATAAAGATCAAAACAGGTGGCTTCGTGCTTGCTTCGCTACGCAATGAAGCTTCCTCTTCGAAAGTGCATGAAATGAAAAGACCCTTGGTAGTCCATGGCAGATTTGTTTTGAGCATTACTTCTGGAAGCATTCAACGCCGTTTCAAGGATTTCTTGCCCGACCCGACCTCCGGCTGACGGGATATCTGACGGCAGCCGGTTGGGATGTGCTGACTACTGGAGACGTGTGTGTGTGTGTCATCCGAAATTAACTTTATCTGTGCGCTAGTTGTGAAGTAGGTCTGCTAGCTAGTAGGTCTAATTTTACCCGATTCTTCTCACTAAGCATTCCCCGAAGGCACTTGCTGAGAGGCAAAAATACACGTCTTCATTTTCCCTGACCTTACGGCCACAGCTCTACACTTAATGACACTCTTTAGGGCCCCGACCTGGTTTGCCCGGATGCATGCTGGACCAGCCCACACGGCGACTTTGGTCCGACCAAAGGCCAGATTGGACAACAAAACGTTATTTCATTACAGTTCTTTCTTCTTATGTTGGGTACACCGCTCAACTTTATGCGATGGGTATCGATGCGCTGTGAAGACTAAAGAGCGCACGTCGCCATCCACACGAATGTTCAAGGAACACAGGCACGTACTGTCGAATAACACGCATTCCTCCTCCATACACCGTTCCAGAATTCCTGGACAATGTCTAGGCGATTGGTTTTAAGATTAGAATGAATGGTTTCCAGTTTCCGGTGGCGGTACCGGACTGAGAGAGGCGATTACGCCCGGTCACCCGACGCCGGCCGGCCGCTTAATGGCGTGCCTGATCCGCTTATGTTCATATCCGATTTACGACAGATCTAGAAGAGATCACATCGATTTCTTTTTTAGCTTCAGCGGCAACAAGTTGGTCTTTGATTTGCTATTGGTTTATGGAAAATTAAAGGTACCGCGTTTTTTAAGAAGAGCACGTCTGAGGCCGTGGCCGCCTCCGTGGTCTAGGGGAAGGATGCTGGACTCGTAATCCAGCGGCACTGGGTACGAGTCCCAGAGCGGGCGCACTGTTTGGTCCGAGTGAAATGGAAAGGTCAGCTAGCAAATGGCCAACGAGGGTCAACCCTGGCTCGGGGCGGCCGTGTCGCAGCATTGGCGGCACGTAGACCCCTCCGCATTTCTGTCTGGTGCAAGGTCACTCGTAAAAGTCACCGGTCACCGAGCCGAAAGTCACCCGTACAAAACCACTCGGAATAAATTTATTAAAAAGGTTATACTTGGCCACCATGCATTATTGACCTTCAATGTCATACTGACCCATATTTCCGAGCAAGACAGGTAGTTAGCTTTCATTGACTTTTCCTTAACATTGTACTCCGATACGCCACAAATACTCACACATTTTCCACGTTATGCTCATTAAACTGTTTTCGATACGGTGACTTGAAACAGAGTTTGTGCCGTACCATGTGCTTTCATTCGTTCCCAGTCCCTTACTGGTCGCTGTACGACTCTAAGATTAAACTAAAACAGACTAATGTGTTTGCCGTACAATACACCCATAAACGTTAGCGGTGCTATCTTCCCGTCAATTTGTTGTTGGATGACCCAAATAAGATCTCCCTTATTTCACCGTTGAACCTCTTCATCGCTGCCACAACGTTTATGTGCTGTCACACTCTGCAGCGATATAAAAAACCACACCCCGCGAAGCACTAGGCTGTTTGGCCGTGGCAGCGGCTCCGCTTCAGAATGGCTGCATGTTATGAGTAGCGTCATTGCATTCTTTTCAAATTATTTTTCGCTCATTACGTTTGGTTTCTCTAACTTTTTGGCAACCAAGAAATTCATGTAATACCACTGATCGTCACTGTGGCTCACCCTTTTCGCCGCAACGAAAGGATGAGAGAATGAAGACTGCCGGCCGTTGGCAGGTGTGGTGCGCGTGCGTTTCGTCGTTTTGTTTGAAATGTCGGCGGCGATTGCCACAACCGGTGGACATTCTGACGACGCAAAGGTGTGGAATCGCAACCATGTTGGTAAAGCCGACGTTCGTACGTGACAGTGCACGAGATTACGCATGAATGGGTGGCCAATACAGGCAATGAACTGGTGTATGCAGTGATGTAAATTTTGCGACCACCCTGGTTACAGTTTCGACGACAGCATGGTGTTCGGCAGCGTTTTTCGAAATGCCGACATTCCCGACCTGCCGGACGCTTACTGATGGAACCCAGCGTTGCACAAAATCGTATTGGCCACATAAATTGCGGACGGTACGCTGATCAAAATTTTGAAATCAGATTCGCGTCCACATCTGCTGTGGGTGCCGAGCTGTATTGTGGCAAAAAAGATGGAGAACGTCAAAATTGGGCAATACGTCTTGGTCACACCTGTACACACGACACGTGGTATGTAGCACTGCGTATTTGGCACCACGCGGTTCCCCATTCAATTCTGTAGCGAAACATGTCAATTTGTTGCCGCTCCGACCCCTGGTTGCCAAGATGTGGCCATGATTTCGAGCGGCTGTTCGTCCTTTTTGTCATGAGCCACATTTTCAAGACTGCCGTGCAAAACCAATGGACCAAATAAACTACCTGTGTGTATACATGCATAGATAACAATATACACACACACACACACACACATATATATATATATATATATATATATATATATATATATATATACATATATATATATACATTCAAATATCTACATCTATATATCTATAATATATAAAATATACAACTAATCCATTTTTGCCACCAGTAGTCTCAGTCATGTCATGCCGTTGGGGCTTTACGACGCACCCAGCTGCGAGGCTATATGGTGTCGCCTGCCTCTCACCCTGGCAGGAAGGGCGGGCACCGCGGGGAATCGAACCCCGTACCTCTGGTTTCCCAGACGCGCAGTGGCTAACGCAGACGCCTTAACCACTACACTACCGGCACACACCAGCAGTCCATGCCAGCCGGTTTTAACCGGTAAAACCGGCTGGCGGAAACTGTTGGAGCTGGCTCCAGCCAACCCTCCTTACTGCATTGCTTTCAGTACACATCCATATCCATACCCAATGACAGCCGCGTCTACAAACAAAAAAATATAGCATTCGTATTACGCACGCAAAAACGTGCGACAAAAATGCACCTTCATAACTGCAATCACTGCTACATATCTATCAAGATGGAAGTTTCCTGAATTATTCGTACGGGGACATAACATAGCCACATAATATCAAGGAAGTAATTTCAATCAATGTTCCGATCCAGGGAGGAATCCAGCAGCGGTGGTAGCCCTACAGCAAGCAATCCCATACGTCGGCGACGGAACGACCGCGGGCGGGTCCGAGCCATCCCATGCATACTTACGTTTGAAGAACATGAGGGAAAACACTGCACCAACTGCCAGTCCGCCACCTGAAAGGAAGTGCCACCTGAGTCATTTAATCCAATGCAGTCTATGTCATTGAGTCTTAAATATAAGCGTGCAGACGTAGAAAAGAGCATGCAGTGTTGGAAATTCCAAAAAAAAAATCCTGGTAGCGGAGTACAAATCTTCTATAGTGGAGTACAAAATTATCCAAGTGCTGCGGGATGGGCGCAAAATGGCCCTACAAGTCGACGCGCCCTAAAACCCCAATCGTCAATCAAGTGCTGCGGGTCATTACAGCTTTACTTAGGTTGCCTTTGAGATACAACAGTACAATGGGTGGTACTCAACAAAAGCGTTACTTTTCATATGCAGGAATTCATGTAAAAAAACACTTTAAATGTAAGGAAACATCAGTATTAAGCATGGAACACTGAAACAACACGGTCTCATACCCTCTATTATGAAACACATGTGCGCATACATTGGTTTGCAATTTACGAAAGGTTTGTATACACAATTTGTGTACACCTTCAAAAATGGAGGGTAATTACGCATCGCGCTTTTGCTCTCCAAAATGGAGGGCGGCTACACACTGGGCTTACACACCCTCCAAAATGGAGGGTGGGTACCATACGCACAGCCAGACAAAAATGGCACCCCAAAAAAGCAAATGAACATGCCACAGACGGCCACTTATGCACCACCACGATCACGCTACTCACGCTCCACCACGGTCACGCTACTCACGCTCCACCAACTAACTGGCTGTAAAGACAGCCAAACATTCATGCCCTCCACCTTCCCACTCCCAGTCAACACACGAGGCCCTGCACGTCCCACCCGAACAACAGAGGCAGGCAGCAATCTTAACCGATTTACCGAGCCAGCGCAAGTACAATGCCTGCCAGGCCCGTGCAGGCCGGCCAAAAGGGATCGGAGTTAGTCACTCCGCTGACTCCGGCGGATAATCCAATGTATGAATGGATTTCGATGTGCTTTAACCGATATCATTGCAAAAGATGATAATCTAGGTTGCAATTTATTGATGTTTTTGTCCCAATAAACCCTTTTCCCTAATTTGCCCGGCGAGTTATGGGTTCATGTTGCTCTGGTGTCCTGGTGTTTTTGCCGGAGTGAGATGGCTGTCTCCGAACAGTTTGTTGGCTATTTATAGCAACGTTTTTCTACTTAAAAGGGTATTTTTGTAAAGCCTGAATTATTAGCTTTAATTTCACACCCTTGAGTGACAAATTTGCCTTGGTTGAAATCTACAGCTGCCGTAATGTTTGTACTCCGGATGCCAGGAAGTGGCCAAAAATCCAACCACAAGGCGGTTCTGGATGAGTACAAATAAGTCCTCCTTCATAATCGTGTTGCCCATCCCATACAGCTTCCCTCAAAACGGCTACAAATCTGTTCGAGGCATGAGCGCGAGCAAAATGTTTATGTTCTTGGCCAATCAGACACGAGGCGAATCATTAAAACAAAATAGAGTTTTGTTATGTTCAACCTCCAGCCCGACCTGGGAGGAGGGCGCAAGCCGCTGAATAGTTGAGACGTTTCCGACGCCAAATTGCGAGTGATTCTCTTATTTGCATTGCCATAACACAGTGGTGGCGCGTGGGTAGGCGGCCGTATGTGGTAGGTGATTGGGCGTGCGGTCTTCTATGACTGTTCGTTGCATCCTTGGCAATTAATGCGGTTCGTCGTCAATGGTAGGTTAAATCATGTTCAAGTTTGAGTTGGTCTGCGTAGGGCATAGGAAGTGAGAGCTTTGCTGATCTACAGACCGGTGCGAGTCTGGTACTCGTTTTTCATTTCCCGGTATTCAAAGGCGACTCCATTCAACATTCACACACTTTATTTGCCACATTTCCACACATGGTTTATCATATACCTGGGTGGCAACACAGGCTGCTTGCTATTGGGCACCTTAGTCTGGTGTGTGCAAGATTCGTGCTTTTGCAGATATCAATACATGGCTCCTGATGGAAGCAGCAAGTCTCAAGCTGTTGCACCTTCTGGTTTTATTTTGTCCTGACACAAAGAAGTAAAGTGAGTTTTTCCAAAAGCTGTTCTTGCTGCATCATGATGGAGTACAACATATTCCATTTTGCGTAGTCACAATCCTGGAGTACAAAATGTTTTGGTATACATTATACCAGGAAACGTCAAGTTTTCCAACACTGAGAGCAAGGGTACAGTAGGCATGCTTCACCTGAAGTTTCTACATAAAGGTGTGCTGAATATCTACATCAGGGGACTGGATGGATTCTGGTGCTAACAAATCCGTGGTGTGAAATTTACCATGGCAGTCATGTACCTCGCAAAACACAACTCTGATACACATGCAGCAGAACACGGGCACATCTTTCATCATATGAGAGTCCCATATGACTTAATCGCAACTTCCTTGCTGATTGGCTTAAGCACATTTGATTACCTCTGGCCTTTCACTCGGCCATGCAAGTGGAAAATGACAAATGGCAAAAATAATGACATAATTCTGCATTACCTGCCCAAAGCACGATTATGGGCCATGCGCAAGTCCTTCAAGCCTCGGAGCCCTTTTAGCATGCTTTAATTCATGACGGATGGTCATGCGTACTGCTGTAGCGCAATTCACACAATAAACGCATATTTACGAAACCGAGTATCTCGATGACATGGATTTTTGAGGTCAGCGCTCACATTAAGTAGCGTTTCATGTGATCGTGAAATTATGGATGAATGGCACACTTTGGTAGGGAAATCAACGAGCCAAATGTTCGGCACGCTTCATTCTGCCCTCCAACGTCACCAGAATTTTACCGCCACCGTTGCCACCGGCCGCGGGCCAATCAGGCCAGAGCAAATAGCGCGCACTTCAAGCGCCACGAACCTATTCCGCCACGCCCAGGCAACCTATTCCGTTACACGTAAGCGACTGGAGCCCATTCCGTCACGCGTAAGCGACAAGAACCTTTTCCTTTACGCGTAAGCGACATGAGCTCATTCCGAACTCAGCGCGCGAATCCCAAAGCAGGCACTAACCAACGGACCCACCGAAAACCACACAAGGTAATATAACGCATGAATGCTATAATATAACATATGCTTATCATATTCATCTGAACACACTTGACATCCGATTGGCTTCATCACTGTCAACGCGAGCAAATAACAGCTAGACAAAATACGGGACATCATGCGATTATCACCACAAAGCATGGAACACATCAACGGAGCACAACTTACATGGCCAACATCTGGCGAAATCGGACATAGTCGGCACAGAGAGCCACCTGACCGGCCAACACTAGTCTCGGACATCAAACTGATTTATCCAGATGTAGCCAATGGAAGGGGCATCACCAAGATTCGACACTTGGGATCCTAGTGGTGATCTTACGGAAAGCGGGGGGGGGGGGGGGGGGGGGGGTAGCAGTGCTCTGGGCATGCCATAAGCCCTTGGGAGTGACGGACTTGCCATAGCCATTGAGGGCTTCAGAGTTACATGCATCAAGCCCTGCGACAAGGTCCCTGAGAAAGGACACCCCGTGTCCCATCCACTTCAGTGTCCGTCGCCAAAACCCGGTCATACACTGCGATTTACCAGATTTACACTGTAAAATATCCGACATAAGACGACTCAAAATGAAGGAGAATATTAATATTAGTCATGACATACTGCGATGACACGATCTAACAGCTTTTTTCCTTACAAAACTCAAGACGGTCGCACAGCACGGCACACACCAAGCGACGCCCGACGCGTGCTGACGCCGCTTCCATTCCTGGACCAGCGGTCACTCAATCTCGGTGTGGAATGGCGGGATTAGAACTAGCTCCAATACCAAAAGACATCGTGACCAAGTAGCATTTTTCGAACTGTGCACGTCTGGTGATTCGTAATAACAACAGGAAATGCAGGTTAGAGAGGGGACATTTTATAACGAAAATTTTCTTCAGCTCACTTTCCTATTCACATGCCTCCGAAGTAGCAATGTCTACGACCAGTCCTCGGTGTCTGCGGTTCTCATGCCGAGGGACAGAGGCGTTAAAATTAGTGTGTTTGGACCTTTAGCATTAGCCGACTGATAACGAGACCTCTGAAACACATAGATTACGAGGGATATGGCGAGGAGGGGAGGGTTGCAGGCTAGGCTAGGCTAGGCTAGGCTAGGGGCACCAGTCCGACGCGGCGTACGTGCAGACGCGGGCAAGAGTTTAGGTTCGGTTAGACTAAAATTTCTGTCAGCTTATGTTAAAGTATGTGGAGCGATCAAAAAGTTCCGAGACTCCTTCCACAACAAGGTCAGAGCGGACCAAATTCCAATTTAACCGCCGTCCTCCTTCGAAGAACGTATTCTACGCGGCGATACATCAGTCTCGGCGTTTATACTACGCTTGGACCGCTCCCTGGAACTCTCGCTCTTTAAGCGGATCAGGCACCATGTGCGAATCGCGCGGAGTATCCCGCACTGCGTCAAAACGGCGTCCATCCATCCTGAACTCGGGGGAGCGGACTAAGTCACAAGGAGCCGAAACCGACGGGTAAGGTAAGGCTGATGGGGGGGGGGGAAGGGAAGGGGGGTACCGACAATAGAGGCGGCGCGGCCCGAAGCCCGCGCATTTCAACGCAAAGTGAGCTGGCACATTGCCATGATGGAAAACCTGATGTCCAATGTTCTCCCCAGGACAAGCAGATTAGGGACATCACCATGAAAAGGTTCATCATTTTTTACACACACAATGTTGTGAACCAATAATTCGTCCTCTATGGTCACGCTCAATGGCATGGTGTGCTGTGCAGTCCTGAGGTATCTGGGGAAAGACATTTGTCTCAAGTGGCCTGGAATATAGACCTATCACAATTGGGTGCTCCAGCATTGCAGCATGGCTCTCACACAGCATTGCAAACATGTCTGCAGGCTCAACCCAGGGGCATAGTTTTGCAACTCCCAAATGCCCCTAAAAGGCATCAACAAACAAGTTTCTGCCCAGATTTTGCTTATTTCTTTTTCAATGCAGGGGGGCTGGAGTCCAAATAGGGTCGGTGAAAGACTCTCCTTCTCCAATCTGAATAGGAAACTTCTCCCTGTCTCAACTTATGCTAATGTCATTCCTGACCAGCCTTACACTGCAAGTTTAGCATCCAGCAACATCTTCTGCTTCCCAAAGATAAGTTTATCCTGTTAATTTTCTTGCTCATGGTATTATCCACATTGTGCTAATGGCATAAAATTGATTTATTTCCACATGCTGGTTGTTCATGGTCACAGCCATGTGCACCCTTTTTTCAGTGGCAATACATGCATAGGAAGCTCATATAGCAGTGAAAAATATATTTAAGCTCATTCTATTCAACTGTTACCTTGATATCTTAGCAGTTTGACCTCTTTTAACATTTGTATCATTCAAACTTGTATTGTATCTGGCAGTCCAATACCTATTCTGCAACAACTGGTGTCTCAGGAAGAGTGGTCAGATGTGTGCGCGGAGCGATGTGGCAGGTATGTTACACATTTTCTCCATTGTTGTCTGTTGTGCTCTGCAGTAATAAGCATGCAAAGGACAATCAAGGACCAAGGTACCACTCTTGGCCTTTATGCAACAGGTAGTTGTAAGAACATGGGTAATTGTAGAAGTCCCAGTCCTTATATGTGGTTGTGGAGGAAGTGTTAAATCAGCAGTACATTATTACTACAGCCATACATTCTTGGGAATACTAATTAACTGCTTGTGTTCTCATAGACTGGCAATGAAAAAGAAAGTCAAGAGAAGTGCCCTTGACTATTGTGAGCCTCAAAGCTGCACTGGACATGTGACAATGATGCTGAATAGTAGTGAGCAAAACAATAAGTGCTGAAGATAATGACATCCATATTGTGAATATAACTGGTTAGAAAACATCACCAGACTAGCAAATATTTGCAGGAAAAGCACATTTTTTGCTGCCCATGGCTTGCATGTGCGAAGCTTAGAAAAGGCATTTTATTACTCATTACGCACAAAACTAGTTCCGCAGGTAACTTGTGGAGGTAATGGCTTTGCAAGATGCTTAGAAGCATATGACAGGCACATGGCAGACATGGCAGACACCTGACAAAACGATCCTATTGAGCCAACGCAAAATCAAAATGCAAAAATTGTACACTTCATAACCCTAGTAGCAAAATTTATAGACTGAAAGCACTTTTGATACCGAGCACCAGTCTTATGCTCATGAGACATTCATGACGCACAGAATAAATACGCAAAACAGCAGCTTAGGGGCCACTTTACACTCATTACGACCAGCAATGACTCACCCATTTTCAGTAATGTGTCAGCGACACATTTGTCCCATTTTATACCCAACTGATCTTCGGACCTCGTAGCCATTTTCGTCTTTAACGCAGGGTCGTGGTAAATGGTTGGCCTCTACAGGTCGACAGCTTCGCGAACCATGTAACGAAAAACACCACATACGTCATAGTTCCCGTACGCATCTTGCGCATTGCTTCTATAGCCTCGTATCTTGTCATAGAAGCATGCGCATTTTCAAAGCTGTTCTATTGCGACGTAGCCAGATTTTCTCTCATAAAGGAGCCAGACCAGGTCCAACCAAGGAAACCCTCTTGGTCGCTTAGGGGCCTTACAAAGCGCGGTAAGGCGCTCAGAGCCCCCCTCCCCCGCGTCCAAAAGTGCTCTTGTATTCGAAAACCATTTCACGTAGTTAAATGACAAAAAACTCGAACCTCCCACTCGGGGAATGTCTCTTCATTGACTGCTAAACGGCAACTGTAAAATTGTAACATGTGTATGACCCGACGTGCCAAAAGAGCAGAATCGGCTAAATTGTGAACTTCAAAATAGCGACACGAAAGAAAGTCGCCATGTCGATTAACAAACTGCTATTCAGCAAACTGTTCAATAGTGCCGCGCCGAAACGTTGGCATGCAACGCTGGGGACGCCTAAGAACCGAACTCCTAAAAGTTATGATCAAGTGAAATTTACGGACTGCAGGGGTCATTAGCGCTCATCCGTCATGTAAATCTACTGGGATTCGAACACGGCGCCCAACGTGGAAGCCCAAGATGCTAACCAGTAACCACTTGATTACCACTCGTAGCCACTTGATTCCGGCCTCCCCTCCCCCTCCCTTCTCTTATCTAGCCTCTATCACATGATTTCAGCAGTGACTGCTAATATTGGGTAGTCGATATTGAAAGCAGCTCTGCCATGCAATTCTCACATTTTCAGCTCGTTACTTCCACCTCTTAACACGCGCTGGGGTGGGAATCAAATTGACCCCGCGAAGGTTTTTTCAGAACGGTTTCCGAACGGCGCGGCGTAGCCGCACCAAATTTTGCCTAGCTGTAAACAATTGAATAGCGGATCGTTTCGTGTAAACAAAATATGGATGTACCGTGTTAGGTCGCTGACGTATGGCAGGACAAAGTCAGGTCATGATTTCAGCGAAGGCAATTTCTAGGGAATCGTTCAGTCTGATGCAACAATGAAGCGTCATACGAAGCCATACATTTCTGAGATGCTTTCTTAGGCAACACAACGATTGAATGAGCAAATTACACTGACCTAAGGTCAGGTATGAAGGTCAGACCGAGGTCAAAATAGACCTGTTTGTTACTAAGGGTTTGCTGTATGGGATAGCTTGTGGTGCTCATTTCGAATTTATTGATAGCAGAAACCGCATTATGCATCTTCCATGGAGTTGTTTGAGGTGAAAATAGGTCATCGACCTAAAACGACCCAGTTCAACACCATGTTTTTAGGAATATACTGCCTAGCGTAATCTTTGTCGCTTATTCAAATACAAAACTCAGAGCAGTCTCGTATGATTTTGGTCACCATGACCTTCAAAACGTCAAACAAGGTCACTGACCTTAAATGAGAATGCGGCCTTCTGCTTAGGAACAGTTAGCTAGGTTCTGGGGGCACTTTGGAGACCAACCTGGAATTTGACCTTACTTGACCTTATTTGACCCGAAGGTCATGACCTAGGAACCCAAAATTTGACCTAAGTGAGTTCATGTACAGGTCAACATACCCTGTAAATTTTGTGTCTCTAGCTTTCTTAGTTCCCGAGATCTCAGTAGGAGGGGGCCAAATTGACCCGCACCCCACCGAAGGGTATCCAGTCGGCCACGGGTGCGTGTTAACGGAGCGTGTCGTGACCTGGATATGACTTAAGCGTGAGGCCAAGGCACACTACGTGTGATTTTATGGAATTTGCAAAACTGGGTCCGACTGTAATATAGAACCCTATGGTGAGCAGGTAAAAGAGAAGCAAGGTGCTTGATTCGTTCCATCTGTCCCAAACGATAATTTTGTATTGCTGCCGCTGCTGCGCCAGGACGCAAGTTCACCTTTACACAATGTCCAACTTTGCACGCGCACATTGCCATTCTGGCCAGCCGTTCACGACCATTTGGCCATTAAAGAGAGCGTTCCACATTTGCACTGGGCTTTGATCGGATTTAGCCGTCGTGAGTTCGCCCGGTGCAGTTTACAGCTCTGCCCTTTTGAAGACCTAAAACCTTGTTTTCTCCGCGAAGATGTGCACCATATTTCGTGCAAACTATTTCAAGGTCGCTCACGCGTGTGCGACGCCACTGAAACATCATTGAAATACTCAAAGATCTAAAAAGGCGTCCGCTCGTCCACGAGCGTGGGAGACTCAAATGAACGTCTACTATTCATGAAAGGGACAGAACGCCCTCTTGCTGCAAGTTTTTTATTTGACATGCATATCATAAAACGCTAATTCTAACGCGATGACATGCATTTTCTTCAGGACTGAACAGGAAGATATGTTTCAGTGGTCCAGACCTTCAATTTTGCCGTTTTGGGAGACTTGTGGGAGCTTTGTGGGTGCACTTGGCTGTCTCCTGCTTTTTCGAATGGTAATTTTATTTCGGTTTGAAATTTGCTCCTCGCCCTTAGACTGTCGTCTACTCAACACGAACAAAAGACCGTCCACGCTTGGTTTAATTCACCATGCAAGGACTGTATGACGTAATACAATCGTAAATATTACTTTTCAAATAAAAAAAACTTATCCAACTATTTTTGAAACAAAACAGGCTATCATCATGCACAATAACTTGTTGTTGTGTTGTGGGACAAAATTTGGCGAAGAAAAAACATCCACAACTCACAACCGTTATTATTACCTTAGTGTACGACTTTGCCTTTGGGAGATTGGGGCAGTATTGCCCTGAAATACGCTTTTGCGGCGTTGGGCATCGCTGGTTTACTACGGAACCGGGTGCGTTACAGCGGAATGCTCACGGGGGGATGAGGACGGAGGATTTGATGAACGTTTACATTCTGTGGACTTACTGGAAATACTTACTGCAATGCTTATAATACTTATTGTAAAGACTTACTGCAATGACCACAGCAAGTGGCCACCATGTGGTCGCAATGGTCGCAGTGACTTGCTGCCGTTGCAATGATCACACCAAATTATATGTTTCTTCTCGTCAGGAAGTGCTATGTGGCTTCGTGGGGTGCAGCTTCAGTGGCGAATATAGCAATTTAAAAAGGCATATGAAGGTTAAACATGTCGGTCTGCCTGTTCGACCAAAAAACTGTAGTTATGGCGCTGGATGAAAGTTGGGGTCTTGGCTGGCAAGTAAGTACATTGGCTGGAGGTATGCAGATAAGACATCCCTGATTCTACAAGGGTGCCTGCTGAGCAATCCATGGAGTGGGACGGAACGTGATGTTGAACATCTCTAGCTGATGTACATTTGTTCGGTTGCGATGGAACAAAATATCTACGGGCCAAAATTTACAAGGATGATGACCTACGATGGTTATAAAATCTTTACACTTCAGTTTCAGTATACCTTGTTTTCCCAGACCAATGCATAACAATCACGGCAGACTGGTATTCGCACACAACATGTATCCACTAACTTAGGAGGGGGCGCTCTCCCCTGAGGTTTTTAAGTATACCTCTCCGCCATGTTGTGCAATGGCGTCCAAATTTGTGGTGCCTCATGGGACATCCATTGCGCGAGTTTTGACAGAGAAGACGCGTTTCTACCTCATCTGGTTTGGGAGGAGCTCGTCCATCTACGGCCGGCGCGGGCGGCGGACGGTAACCGACGATGCCGCATGACTTATCTCGTGCCGCCACAACGCACGCTTTCCTGCGTATAATATTGCAAAGCTGAAAAATGTGATTTTCTGGAAAATTTGGGCTTTGACCTGACACCATGTAGTCCATTATTGAGCTTAAAATATGACAACTAAGACCGATCGCGAACCCTTATTGGGACCAATTAACTGGTGTTGTTTTTCGCTAACTTTTATCTTCAGTAGTTTGGAAATATCAGGGAATCGCATGGAGCCCTTATCAATCCACGTTATGAATAACGGGGATAAGGGCGAGGGTTTACCAAACCTAACATAACCTAGCATTTTTCTTAGCAACGCAACGGGGAGGGGGGCCTCACCCCCATACCAGGGCGACTCGTGAGCCGTTCAGCTGACTCGTCTACCAATGATCAATAGGGTTGGGAGAGGTTAAATCGTCTCCAACTTAATGCTTATTGACCCTCCCATGGTTTGCAGTTGGCATCTCACCTGCAGTTGATTTTCCCAACATAACGTAAGGATGCTTCGTTTCAGGTCTGGACCAGGTAAACCCACCCCAATGTGTTGTCATGGAGGCTGGACTAGAAGCTGATGAATGTGATGTAGAAGCTGATGCTCGGCCATCATGCTTGGAAGCGGGCGCGGGATCATCAGGATCATCAGCTGGCGATGAGCCACCCGCTCTAGAAGCTGGTACTTGGCCGTCCTTTTTTGAAGCTGGTACTGGTCGTCTTCTAAACTTTGTGCTGGACCATCTTCGGCAGCAACTGCACAACCCTGTTAATCTGTCGTGGAAACACGCATCATGACGCGGATGCTCGAAGTCGCACGCAAGGTGGAAGATGTTCGGCAGGTTGCGGGCCGTACTCTGCAAGTGGTGGAGAAGCTGAATAAACATCTGCATGGGAAGAACAGAGAGCCGATATCGCTCTGCTCTTCCCTTCAGAAAGGACCACTGCATCTTTGCAAAATGCTGATGACGAACACCTGGTTGCGTGTGCAACGAAGAACGTCCCCTTCCATAAGGCTCGTGTCACATATACCAACTGCAGCATGTCCCTCAAATCTGTGCCTGTTGTATTCCGGTATGATTTCAGCATGGGATCAGATTTCTCTCCAAGGGAAAATCTGCCTGCCCAGTTTCGATGGGTCAAGGCGGCGGTGAGAACACATTGTCAGTCGACACACCGTCAGGACATGTTGAGAGAAATCCAGGAAAAAGCCACGGGTCAAACCACTCGTGGGGTCAAAGGGACCGTTGCGGTTCGTGTGCTGAGGCTTGGCTATCATGTCCCACGGTGCGTTTGAAGGGCTTGTGGTACTCCTTCACAGCAATGATGTGAACGTAGGCGGCCTGAGCCACTCGGCGAGGGTGATGAAGGGAACGCGGGATGCCTTTAGTGAGGTCGTCCTCCTGAAGGTGATGGCTCATGTCCTAAACTAGCCATGCGCCGCTGTTTTAGC